TCTATTTCTATTGCACCCCAATGCTTTTGCATTTACTTGCATTGATTTTGCATTCTATTTCTATTGCACCCCTATACTTTAGCATTTACTTGCATTGCTTTTGCATTCTATTTCCTTTGCACCCCGATACTTTTGCATTTATTTGCATTGGTTTTGCGTTCTATTTCCATTGCACCAATACTTTTGCATTTCCTTGCATTGATTTTTCATTCTATTTCCATTGCACCCCATTACTTTTGCATTTATTTGCATTGATTTTGCATTCTATTTCCATTGCACCCCAATACTGTTGCATTTACTTGCATTGGTCTTGCTTTGTATTTCCATGGCACCCCAATACTTGTATACTTACATTTTTTCATTCGTTTACTTTATTTATATATTTGGTATATTTATATTTATATATTTGGTATATTTATATTTATATATTTGGTATAAATATAAATATTTATACCAAAGATAGATATTTGGTATATTTATATTTATATATTTATATACATATATTTATTTTGTATTGATTTATATATTTGGTATGTACCAAATTTCCCAAATATCTAAATATACCAAATATGTAAATATACGAAAGACATAAATAAATACTTAATACATAAATATACTATACTATACTAAATATACTAAGATATACGACACACATAGGCACATCATAAATTATGAATCCTACAGACCAAAAAAAATGTAACTTTTTTTCTGGCTTTAAGATTATATTCTCTCTTTTCTTATAAATATATAGTATTTATGGAAGCATTGCTTGAAACCTATTACTCTACTTCTTGAGAAAGTCTACGGGCCGGCGGGGGAACATAAATAATAAAACCGGAATCACTGTTTGTAACCTATTTCTCTACTACTTGAGAAAGTGTATGAAATGGCGGGGTGAACATAAATAATAAATCCGGAAGCACTGCTTATAAACTATTACTCTACTACTTGAGAAAGTCTTTGGGCCAGCGGGAGAGGGGGGGGGCGGGGATCTAAATAATAAACCAGGAAGCACTGCTTGTAACCTATCACTCTACTACTTGAGAAAGTCTATGGGCTGGTGGGGGAAACATAAATAATAAACCCGGAAGCACTGCTTGCTACCTATCACTCTACTACTTGAGAAAGTCTATGGGCCGGCGGGGGACATAAATCGTAAACCCGGAAGCACTGCTTGTAACCTATTCCTCTACCACTTCAGAAAGTCTATGGGCCGGCGGGGGAGGGGCATAAATAATAAACCCGGAAGCACTGCTTGCAACCTATCACTCTATTACTTGAGAAAGTGTACGGGGTGGTGGGGGACATAAATCGTAAACCCGGAGCACTGCTTGTAACCTATTCCTCTACCACTTCAGAAAGTCTATGGGCCAGCGGCGGGGGGGGGGGCACATAAATAATAAACCCGGAAGCACTGCTTGTAGAGCAGTCTATGGAAACATAAAGAAAGTCTATGGGAACATCAAAAATAAACCCGGAAGCACTGCTTGTATCCTGTCACTCCACTACCTTAGAAAGTCTATGGGTACACAAAATAATAAACCCGGAAGGACTGCTTGTAGAGTTTACCACTCTACTACTTAAGAAAGTCTATGGGAACATTAAAAATAAACCCAGAAGCACTGCTTGTAACCTATCACTCTACCACTTTAGAAAGTCTATGGGTATATAAAAAGTAAACCCGGAAGCACTGCTTGTATCCTATCACTCTATTACTTAAAAAAGTGTATGGGAACATAAATAATAAACCCGGAAGCACTGCCTGTAACCTATCACTCTACAATTTTAGATAGTCTATGGGTACATAATTAATAAACCCGAAAGCACCACTTGTAACCTATCACTCTATTACTTTAGAAAGTCTATGGGTACACAATAATCCACCCGGAAGCACCGCTTGTAACTTATCACTTTACTATTTTACATAGTCTATGGGTTGTTGTTGTTCATTCGTTCAGTCGCCTCCGACTCTTCGTGACCTCATGGACCAGCCCACGCCAGAGCTCCCTGTCGGCCGTTACCACCCCCAGCTCCCTCAAGGTCAGTCCAGTCACTTCAAGGATGCCATCCATCCATCTTGTCCTCTTCCTTTTGCCTTCCACTTTCCCCAGCATCATTGTCTTCTCTAGGCTTTGCTGTCTCCTCATGATGTGGCATTCAAAGGACTTCAACTTTCCCTCTCGTCTCCTTCCCTCCAGTGAGCAGCCGGGCTTTCTTTCCTGGAGGATGGACTGGTTGGATCTTCTCGCAGTCCAAGGCACTCTCAGAACTTTCCTCCAACACCACAGTTCAAAAGCATCTCTCTTCCTTCGCTCAGCCTTCCCGAAGGTCCAGCTCTCACATCCGTAGGTGACTACAGGGAAGACCAGTCTATGGGTACCTATTAATAAACTCGGAAGCACCGCTTGTCACCTGTCACTCTACTATTTTAGATAGTCTATGGGTACATTTTAATAAACCCGGAAGCACTGCTTGTATCCTATCACTCCACTACCTTAGAAAGTCTATGGGTACACAAATAATAAACCCGGAAGCACTGCTTGTCTCCTATCACTCTACTAACCTAGAAAGTCTATGGTCCGGCGGGGCTGTTTCCTGATGGCGGGAGGACCTGAAGTCGCGGGCAACTCTAGCCTTCCCTCTCGATGGTAGGAAGCTCCCTCCAATGGCACTTCACTGACGTCACCGGGGGGCGGAGCCAGCCTGTTTTCCCGGAAGTGGCGTCAGAGGAGCGCCTGGCTTCCCAAGTGAGAGGGATTGTTGTTATTTATTCCGTTGCTATTATTATTATTATTTATTATTATGATTATTATTCATTATTGCTGTTCTATATTTGCAGTAGACTCTCAGTTAACCAGAATTCTTTAAATAAAAAATTAAAATTAAAGTTAATTAATTATTATTATTAAATAATATAAATTAATTAAATTGATATAAATATAATTATAAATATAAATTATTTTTAATAGACCTTTAAAAATTAAAATATTTTAAAATCAGAAAAATAATACTTTAAATAAATATTAAAATTAATTATTATTATTATTAAACATTAAAATAATACTTTAAATAAATATTAATTAATGTTTAATAAATATTATCAATGTTTAATATTATTATTATATCATGCTACTGATATTATTTTAATAGCCTTTAAAATTTAAAATAATATTAAAAATCGAAAAATAATACTTTAACTAAATATTAATGTTTAATAAATATTATTAATGTTTATTATTATTATTATTATTAAACATTAAACAATCAGTTTTAGAGGAAATATACATTTAAACTTCAATGCTCTTAAGTTTCATGCTACTGATATTATTTTAATAGACCTTTAAAAATTAAAATAATAATTAAAATAATAATTGAGGGTGCTGGTGTTGGCCTACAAAGCCCTAAACGGCTCCGGCCCAAAATACCTTTCAGACCGCATCTCGGCCTACGAGCCCACGAGGTCCTTGAGATCGTCTGGGGAGGCCCTTCTCTCGATCCCGCCGGCCTCACAGGCTCGCCTGGCGGGGACGAGAGAGAGGGCCTTCTCAGTGGTGGCCCCCCGGCTGTGGAACACTCTCCCTGTGGAGATCAGGCAGGCGCCCTCCCTCATGGCCTTTAGGAAAAATCTCAAAACTTGGCTGTTCGAGAGAGCATTTAATTAAGCGCTTAACAATGTGGTAAAGATGATTGGAATGGAACGAGGAATACGAGATTGGATACGATTTTAATTATGAGACGAAGCGGATTAGTTAGTGTAAAATTTTAATTGTGTATTGCGGTTTTTGCTGATGTGCTTGTAATTTGTCTTTTGTAAATTTGCCTTTTTGTAGTGTACACCGCCGTGAGTCGCCCGCGAGGGCTGAGAAGGGCGGTTAATAAATGCATAAAATAAATAAATAAATAAATAAATAGTAATTATTATAATTATAATTATTATTATATTTAATCTATTTATTACCCATTACTTCTCATAGCCCAAAAACATTATATTATTATTATTAATATTAATATCAATCTATTTATTACCCATCTCTTCTTGAAACTCAGAAACATATTATTATTATTATTAATGCATTTATTATTATTATTATTATTATTCTATGTATTACCCGTCTCTTCTTGCATCTCAAAAACATTCTATTATTATTATTATTATTATTATTATTATTATTATTATTATTATTCTATGTATTATCCGTCTCTTCTTGCAACTTATTATTATTATATTTAATCTATTTATTACCCATCTCTTCTCGTAGCTCCAAAACATTCTATTATTATTTTTATTATTATTAATAATAATAATATTATTAATAATAATCTATTTTTACCTGTCTCTTCTTGCAACTCAGAAACATATTATTATTATTATTATATTTAATCTGTTTATTACCCTCCTCCTCTTGCAGCCCAACCACCTTATTTATTATTATTATTATTATTATTATTATTATTATTATTATTATTATTTTACTGACACAAAAACACAGTCGGTCACAGCAAATGAGATCTGCATGCTGGATTATTATTATTATTATTATTATTATTATTATTATTATTATATCTATTAGGCCGCTGCAGCCATGGATGTGGGCGCAGGGCCCCCTTCGACGGGGCAAGTCCTGCTCTTGGCCACCAGTTCGGCCCTTGCCGCCCTCCTCTACGCCGTGTACCGGCACAAGGCCAAAGTGGTCAGCAGCCTGAAGGTGAGGTTTAGTATTTTTTAATAATAGCAGGATGACCATCTGTTGGGAGGGATTGGATAGTGCCTCTCTTTAGGGCAGCATCGTGGGGTTGATCTAGATCGCATTTGGATGCCGCTTGCATATTCAGAATACTATATTATCAACATAATCATCATTATCATTATTTATTATTATTATTATTATTACTATTATTATTACTACTATTATTATTACTATTACTATTTTTACTATTATTATTACTATTATTATTACTACTACTACTACTACTATTATTATTACTATTATTACTATTAGTATTATTATTACTATTACTCTTATTACTATTAGTATTATTACTATTAGTATTATTATTACTCTTATTATTATTACTATTATTACTATTATTATTACTATTACTATTATTATCACGTTTTTTCCTTTCTCTCCTGCCTTTTAGGGAGCCAAAAAAGTCAGTTTAGACCAAGATCTGAAGGCTTTCCTGACGGAAGCGCCGGGGAAGTGCGTCCCGTACGCCGTGATCGAAGGTAAAGGCTAGGAATGCAAACTAATAATAATAATAATAATAATAATAATAATTGTCTTCCTATCTTGGAACTAACTCCAACATAATAATAATAATAATAATAATAATAATAATAATAATAATATAATAGGCTTTCATATGGGGACAGTTCCATCCTAGATTGTATGTGTTTCCTCCACCAGAGACATCCCAGTGTCTAGGAATGCAAACTAATAATAATAACAATTCCATCCTAGATTGTATGTGTTTCCTCCACCACAGACATCCCAGTGTTCCTTTCGCTTTCCACTGGTGTGGAATTTACATGAACCCACCCACTGCTTATCCCTTCACCCTTTTCTGTTCTTTTCTACAGCACACAGCAAACAGAGGAATTGATCATAGATTCCATGTGTTTCCTCCACCACAGACATCCCAGTGTTCCTTTCGCTCTCCATTGGTGTGGAATTTACATGACCCCCACCCACTGATTATCCCTTCACCCTTTCCTATTCTTTTCTATGGTACACAGCAAACAGAGGAATTGATCATAGATTGTATGTGTTTCCTCCACCACAGGCATCCCAGTGTTCCTTTTGCTCTCCATTGGTGTGGAATTTTCATGCCATAACCATTTCATAATAATAATGATAATAATAATAAAAGTCTTCCTATCTTCGAACTAACTCCAGTATAATAATAATATAGGCTTTCATACGGGGACAATTCCATCCTAGATTGTATGTGTTTCCTCCACCACAGGCATCCCAGTGTTCCTTTCGCTCTCCATTGGAACTATCCACTATCCACATATGATTTGCTAATAGATTCCTTATTTTATTATCCTGTAACCATTTCATAATAATAATCATAATAATTACTGATATGATAATTGATATGGTAATATTAATAATGTTTCTTCCACCACAGGCATCCCAGTGTTCCTTTCGCTTTCCACTAGTGTGGAATTTACATGAACCCACCCACTGCTTATCCCTTCACCCTTTCCTGTTCTTTTCTATGGCACACAGCAAACAGAGGAATTGATCATAGATTTCATGTGTTTCCTCCAGCACAGACATCCCAGTGTTCCTTTCGCTCTCCATTGGTGTGGAATTTACATGAACCCACCCACTGCTTATCCCTTCACCCTTTCCTGTTCTTTTCTATGGCACACAGCAAACAGAGGAATTGATCATAGATTCCATGTGTTTCCTCCACCACAGGCATCCCAGTGTTCCTTTCGCTCTCCATTGGTGTGGAATTTGCATGACCCCCCACCCCACCCACTGCCTCTCCCTTAACCCTTTCTTTTCTATGGCACACAGCCAACACAGAGGACTCGATCAGAAACGAAATATACTAGAGAGGGTTGGGGAGAATTCCCCGTGATTTATAGTAGTTGTAGGTCCTGGGATGTATAGTTCACCCTGCAATCTAAGAACCGCACTCTGAACTCTACCAATGATGGACCTGGAGCTCACTTGGCACACAGAATTTTTATTATTATTATTGTTCCCATGACCAACAAAAAACACTAGAGGTCTTTGGAGGGATTTATGGGAGTTGTAGTTCACCTAAATCCAGAGAGCACGGCGAACCCAGATAAGTGCGCACACCGAACTCCACCAAAGATGGAATTGGGCCAAACTTGGCACACGGAGTACCCATGACCGAAAATAAATACTGAAGGTCTTTGGAGGARATYCACCTTGATTTGTGGGAGTTGTAGTTCACCTACATCCAGAGAGCACGGYGAACCCAGATAAGTGAGCACACTGAACTCCACCAAAGATGGAATTGGGCCAAACTTGGCACACGGAGTACCCATGATCGAAAAAAAATACTGAAGGTCTTTAGAGGAAATTCACCTTGATTTGTGGGAGTTGTAGTTCACCTACATCCATGGAGAGAGTAAGGAACACTGGGGTGCCTGTGGTGGAGGAAACACATATAATCTAGGATGAAATTGTCCTGGAAAGAAAGCCTTTCCTTGGGTGGTGGGCAGTGTGGTGTTGGTGGAGGACATGGGCTGGGCTCTTGGACATGGAGAGAGTAAGGAACACTGGGGTGCCTGTGGTGGAGGAAACACATATAATCTAGGATGAAATTGTCCCTGAATGAAAGCCTTTCCTTGGGCGGTGGGCGGTGTGATGCTGGTGGAGGACATGGGCAGGGCTCTTGGACATGGAGAGAGTAAGGAACACTGGGGTGCCTGTGGTGGAGGAAATACATACAATCTAGGATGAAATTGTCCCTGAATGAAAGCCTTTCCTTGGGTGGTAGGCAGTGTGATGCTGGTGGAGGACATGGGCAGGGCTCTTGGACATGGAGAGAGTAAGGAACACTGGGGTGCCTGTGGTGGAGGAAATACATACAATCTAGGATGAAATTGTCCCTGAATGAAAGCCTTTCCTTGGGTGGGCAGTGTGGTGTTGGTGGAGGATATTATCAGAGTTCTTGGACATATTCATAGTGCCAATGGAGAGAGTAAGGAACACTAGGATGCCCGTGGTGGAGGAAACACATAAATCTAGGATGGAATTGTCCCTGAAGGAAAGCCTTTCCTTGGGTGGTAGGCAGTGTGATGTTGGTGGAGGACATGCTCAGAGGTCTTGGGTTTGAGGGGACTGACCCACCCTGGTGGGAGTTGTAGTTCACCCACAACCGTATGCATTTTCTCTCTCCATCCCCAAGGCGTTGTTCGCTCCGTGAAAGAGACCCTCAGCAGCCAATTTGTGGAAGACTGCAAAGGAGTGATTCAGCGGCTGACGCTGCAAGAGCACAAGGTGGTCTGGAACCGGACCACGCACCTCTGGTTGGTATCCGATCCCTCCCAACAGATGGCCATCCCTCCTCGCGTGACAAACCTCCCCGATCGAGGGAAGCATTCTTTCTTTGCTCCTTGTTTCACGGGGGTGATGGCACTAATGTATGATACACATAATATAATAATAATACACATAATATAATAGTTATGGAATTGTTGTAATGATAATGTAACAATAATAATGTAATATACTATAATATAACAAAAATAATACAAATCTGGGAAGCGGGGCGAGCTCCCATCTGTCAGCTCTAGCTTCTCATGTGGGGACATGAGAGAAGCATTCCACGGGATGGTAAAACATCTGGGCAACGTCCCCTGGGCAACGCCCTTGCAGATGGCCAATTTTCTCACACCAGAAGCGACTTGCAGACATAAAAAACTCTTATAATAATAATAATAATATAATTGTTATAATGATAATAATAATTTCTGTTTCTTCAGGAACGATTCCGAAAAGATCATCCACCAGAGGACGAACACAACGGCTTTCGACCTGGTGCCCCGAGACGGCGGAAGGGGTGTCGCTGTCCGAGTCTCGAGGCCCTTGGAGGCCGCGGAGCTGAGCCTGGAGCCGGTCTACGAGCGGTTCCACCCTTCGGCCCAGTCCTTCGCGGACGCCGTCGGCCACTACATCAGCGGGGAGCGGCCCAAAGGCATCCAGGAGACGGAGGAGATGCTCCGGGTGGGGGCCTCCCTGACCGGCATCGGGGAGCTCGTCCTCGACAACGACGGCGCCCTCCGCCTCCAGCCCCCCAAAGAGGGCTTGCGCTACTACCTCTCCTGCCTTGGCTTCGAGGCCTTGCTTCAGAAGCAGGAATCGAGCCTGCGTCTCTGGAGGGTCTTGGCCCTCGGCTGCGGCCTCGTCGCCTTCACCACGCTCGTCTTCGTCCTCCACAAGTGGCGGAAAGAGAAGCGGCGCATGCGGCGGGATGGCGAGGCCTTCGGAGGGGAACCTGGCGCCGCCTGCGTGGTCTGCATGGCCCGGGAGCGCTCCTGCGCTTTCCTCGAGTGCGGACACGTCTGCGCCTGCCTCCAGTGCTACGCGGCCCTGCCCTCTCCCCCCCGCTGCCCCGTCTGCAGGCAGAAGATCACCAGGGCCGTGCCGCTGTACAACAGCTGAGCGGCGGAGGCTCCGGAACAGACCCCGGAACCCCTTTTCCTCACCAAAGGAAATTGAAGGATACTTACATTGGCTTCTCTCTTGCCAAAATGGCCTCCGGAACACTTTCTACCCACCATCGGTTATCGGAGGACACTTCGGACGAATTACGATTCTTTTCTTCTCATAACAACCTCCGGAACCCCTTCTCACCATCTGATATTGGAGGACACTTTGGACGAATTAGGTTTTCTTTCTTCTCGTAATGGCTTCCGGAACCCCATCTCCTCACCATCTGATATTGGAGGAGAATTCGGATGAATTACGATTTTTTTCTATTCGTAACAACCTCTGGAACCCCTTCTCCTCACCATTGGGTATCGGAGGAGACTTCAGACGAATTACGATTCTTTTCTTCTCATAACAACCTCCGGAACCCCTTCTCCTCACCATTGAATATTGGAGGACACTTTGGATGAATTACATTTTCTTTCTTCTCGTAACTGCCTCCGGAACCCCATCTCCTCACCATCCGATATCGGAAGACACTTCAAACAAATTACGATTTCTTTTTTTTCTCATAATGGCCTCCGGAACCCCTTCTCTTCATCATTAGCTATAGGAAGACGCTTTGGACAAATTACAATTTTTTTCTTCTCGTAACAGCCTCCGGAACCCCTTCGCTTCACCATCGGATATCGAAGGACACTTCAGAAGAATTACGATTCTTTTCTTCTCATAACAACCTCCGGAACCCCTTCTCCTCACCATTGGATATTGGAGGACAATTCGGACGAATTACTTTTTCTTTCTTCTCGTAACTGCCTCCGGAACCCCATCCCCTAACCATCTGATATTGGAGGAGAATTCGGATGAATTACGATTTTTTTCTACTCGTAACAACCTCTGGAACCCCTTCTCCTCACCATTGGGTATCGGAGGAGACTTCAGACGAATTACGATTCTTTTCTTCTCATAACAACCTCCGGAACCCCTTCTCCTCACCATTGAATATTGGAGGACACTTTGGATGAATTACATTTTCTTTCTTCTCGTAACGGCCTCTGGAACCCCATCTCCTCACCATCCGATATTGGAAGACACTTCGAACAAATTACAATTTCTTTTTTTTCTCATAACAGCCTCGGGAACCCCTTCTCTTCATCATTAGATATAGGAAGACGCTTTGGACAAATTACAATTTTTTTCTTCTCATAACAGCCTCCGGAACCCCTTCGCTTCACCATCGGATATCGGAGGACACTTCAGACGAATTACGAATCTTTTCTTCTCATAACAACCTCCGGAACCCCTTCTCCTCACCATTGAATATTGGAGGACATGTTGGACGAATTACTTTTCTTTCTTCTCGTAACGGCTTCCGGAACCCCATCTCCTCACCATCCGATATTGGAGGAGAATTCGGATGAATTACGATTTTTTTCTACTCGTAACAGCCTCCGGAACCCCTTCTCCTTGTCATCAGATATTGAAGGATACTTCGGACGAATTACAATTTTTTCTTCTCGAAACAGCCTCCGGAACCCCTTCTTCTCACCATCAGATATCAGAGGAAAATTTGACAAATTACTATTTTTTTTCTTCTTGTAACAGCCTCCGGAACCCCTTCTCCTCACCATTGGATATTGGAGGACACTTTGGATGAATTACATTTTCTTTCTTCTCGTAACGGCCTCCGGAACCCCATCTCCTCACCATCCGATATTGGAAGACACTTCGAACAAATTACGATTTCTTTTTTTTCTTTCTCATAACAGCCTCCGGAACCCCTTCTCTTCGTCATTAGATATAGGAAGACGCTTTGGACAAATTACGATTTTTTTCTTCTCGTAACAGCCTTCCCTTCGCTTCACCATCGGATATTGGAGGACACTTCAGACGAATTATGATTTTTTCTTCTCATAACAACCTCCGGAATCCCTTCTCCTCACCACTGGATATTGGAGGACACTTTGGACAAATTACTTTTTCTTTCTTCTCGTAACAGCTTCCAGAACCCCATCTCCTCACCATCCGATATTGGAAGAGAATTCGGATGAATTATGATTTTTTTCTTCTCGTAACAGCCTCCGGAACCCCTTCTCCTCACCATCGGATATTGGAGGAGACTTCAGACAAATTACGATTTTTTCTTCTCGTAACGGTCTCCGGAACCCCTTCTCCTCACCATCAGATATTGGAAGACACTTTGAACAAATTACGATTTCTTTTTTTTCTCATAACGGCCTCCGGAACCCCTTCTCCTCGTCATCAGATATAGGAAGATGCTTTGGACAAATTACGATTTTTTTCTTCTCCTAACAGCCTCCGGAACCCCATCTTCTCACCATCCAATATTGGAGGAGAATTTGGATGAATTACCTTTTTTTTTTTTCTTCTCGTAACAGCCTCCGGAACCCCTTCTCCTCACCATCGGATATTGGAGGATACTTTGAATGAATTACGTTTTCTTTTTTCTTGAAATAGCCTCCGGAACCCCTTCTCGTCATCAGATATTGGAGGACACTTCGAACGAATTATGGTTTCCTTCTTCTCAAAATGGCCTCCGGAACCCCTTCTCCCCCCCATCAGATATTGGGGGACTATTAGGACAAATTATGATTTTCTTTCTTTTCGTAACGGCCTCCGGAACCCCTTCTCCTCACCATTGGATATCGGAGGACACTTTTGACGAATTACGTTATCTTTCTTCTTGTAACAGCCTCCGGAACCCCATCTCCTCACATCCGATATTGGAGGACAATTCCGATGAATTACGATTTCTTTCTTCTCGAAACGGCCTCCGGAACCCCTTCTCCTCACTATCCGATATTGGAAAACACTTTGGATGAATTACGATTTCTTTCTTCTCATAACAGGCTCCGGAACCCCTTCTCCTCACACTTCGGACGTATTATGGTTTCTTCTTGTAACAGCCTCCGGAACCCCTTCTTCTCACTCTTCAGATGTATTATGGTTTCTTTCTACTCGTAACGGCCTCCTCACCATCCGATATTGGAGGATACTTCAGACGAATTATGGTTTCTTTCTTCTCGAAACAGTCTCCAGAACCCACTCTCCTCACCATCAGATATTGGAGAACACTTCAGATGAATTACGATGTCTTCTTCTCGTAACAGCCTTTGGAACCCCTTCTCCTTGCCATCGGATATTGGAGGATACTTCGGACGAATTATGGTTTCTTTCTTCTCGGAACGGCCTTCAAAACCCGTTCTCCCCACCATCAGATATTGGAGGACACTTTGGATGAATTACTCGTAACGGCCTCCAGAACCCACTCTCCTCACCGTCAGATATCGGAGAACACTTTGGATGAATTACGGTTTCTTCTCGAAACGGCCTCCGGAACCCGAATTATGGAAAGGACCCCGGAACCCCTTCTCCTCACCATATTGGAGGAGACTTCGGCAGAATTTTGGAGGTTTCTCTCTCCTCGAAATGGCCTGCGGAAACCCTTGACTTCACCAAAGAAGGTTGAAGGACACTTTGGCCAAATTATGGATGTTTCTCTCTCTCGAAAATGGACTCCGGAACCCCTTCTCAAAAATTATGGACTCTGGAACCCCTTCTCAAGAATTATTGACAAGTACCCTGTTGATTCCTTGTTGATCTTTGCTACATTTTTGGGACTTGCTTTAGCCATCGAGCCAAAAGGAAATGTTACTTCTCAATTTGGAACTTTCCGAAATGCAAAAAAAGTTGTGTTCCTGTATTTTTGACAGATCCCGTTTTTCTAGATCTAAACTGAACAGGACTGCGTTTCCAAAAGAAAAATACAAAGACATGTCTAGAATAAAAGATTTTGCTCAAGTTGCAAATGTTTTACTTTTTGCATTCGCTGTTTTGTGTTAAATTTTTGTTGTTTGAGACAGATGGAGATTGTGTGGGATCTCCATCCAGGTCCCGTTGTCGTTATTTGAACACACTTCAAGGCAGGGTACAACACAACACCACGTAAAACTTGCTTCTCTTTAAACTCTTGAGGATGGAGCTCCACTCTTCTCTCCTTCCTCCAAAGGCAAGAACTGTGAAAGCTCCACTCTTCTCGCCTTCCTTCTTCCTCCTAAAGAAAGGCAGTTAAGAACTGTGAAAAGGAGGTCTCTGAAGCTCCACTCTTCTCTCCTTCCTTCTCCCTTTTCTCCATAGGCTCCACTGAAGCTCCACTCTTCTCGCCTTTCTTCTTCCTCCTAAAGTGAGGCAGTGTAAGAATGATAAATGAAGGTCTCTGAAGCTCCACTCTTCTCCTTCCTCCAAAGGCAAGGTCATTTAAGTACTGTGAAAGCTCCACTCTTCTCGCTTTCCTTCTCCCTTTTCTCCATAGGCTCCACTGAAGCTCCACTCTTCTCGCCTTCCTTTTTCCTCCTAAAGTGAGGCAGTGTAAGAATGATAAATATATGTCTCTGAAGCTCCACTCTTCTTTTCTTCATTCTTCCTCCTAAAGAAAGGCAGTTTAAGAATGATAAATTGAAGTCTCTGAAACTCCACTCTTCTCTCCTTCCTTCTATCTCCTAAAGTGAGGCAGTGTAAGAATGATAAGGTCTCTGAAGCTCCACTCTTCTCTCCTTCCTCCAAAGGCAAGGTGATTTAAGAACTGTGAAAGCTCACTCTTCTCGTTTTCCTTCTCCCTTTTCTTCAAAGGCTCCACTGAAGCTCCACTCTTCTCTCCTTCCTTTTTCCTCTTAAAGTAAGGCAGTTTAAGAACTGTGAGAAGGAGGTCTATGAAGCTCCACTCTTCTCACTTTCCTTCTCCCTTTTCTCCAAAGGCTCTACTGAAGCTCCACTCTTCTCACCTTTCTTCTTCCTCCTAAAGTGAGGCAGTTTAAGAATGATAAATGAAGGTCTCTGAAGCTCCACTCTTCTCTCCTTCCTTCTCCCTTTTCTCCAAAGGCTCCACTGAAGCTCCACTCTTCTCGCCTTCGTCCTCTTAAAACAAGGCAGTTTAAGAATGATAAATGGGGGTCTCTGAAGCTCCACTCTTCTTGCTTTCCTTCTCCCTTTTCTCCATAGGCTCCACTGAAGCTCCACTCTTCTCGCCTTTCTTCTTCCTCCTAAAGTGAGGCAGTGTAAGAATGATAAATGAAGGTCTCTAAAGCTCCACTCTTCTCTCCTTCCTCCAAAGGCAAGGTGATTTAAGAACTGTGAAAGCTCCACTCTTCTCGCTTTGCTTCTCCCTTTTCTCCAAAGGCTCCACTGAAGCTCCACTCTTCTCTCCTTCCTTCCTCCTCCTAAGTAAGGCAGTTTAAGAACTACGAAAAGGAGGTTTCTGAAGCTCCACTCTTCTTCCTTCTTCTTCCTAAAGTGAGGCAGTGTAAGAACTATGAAATTGAGGTCTCTGAAGCTCCACTCTTCTTCCTTTTTCCTCCTAAAGAAAGGCAGTTTAAGAACTATGAAATGGAGGTCTCTGAAGCTCCACTCTTCTCTCTTTTTTCCTTCTTCCGAAGGCAAGGCAGTTTAAGAATGATAGATTGAGGTCTCTGAAGCTCCACTCTTCTCACCTTCCTTCCTCCTAAAGAAAGGCAGTTTAAGAACAATGAAAGGAACTCTCTGGAGCTCCATTCTTCTCTCCTTCCTTTTTCCTCCTAAAGTAAGGCAGTTTAAGAACTATGAAAAGGATGTCTCTGAAGCTCCATTCTTCTCTCCTTTCTTCCTCCTCAAGCAAGGCAGTTTAAGAATGATAAATTGGTCTCTCGGAAGCTCCACTCTTCTCTCCTTCCTCCTCTAAAGGCAAGGCAGTTTAAGAAGCTTCACTCATCTCTCCTTTCATCTTCCTCCTAAAGCAAGGCAGTTTGAGAATGATAAATGGAGGTCTCTGAAGCTCCACTCTTCTTCCTCCTAAAGCAAGGCAGTTTAAGAATGGAGGTCTCTGAAGTGCCACTCTTCTCGCCTTCCTTCTTCCTCCTAAAGTAAGGCAGTTTAAGAACTACGAAATGGAGGTCTCTGAAACTCCACTCTTCTCGCCCTCCTCCTTCCTCCTAAAACTAGGCAGTTTAAGAATGATAAATGGAGGTGTCTGAAGCTCCACTCTTCTCTCCTTCCTTCTTCCTCCAAAGGCAAGGTAGTTTAAGATCAGTGAAATTGAGGTGTCTGAAGCTCCACTCTTCTCACCTTCCTTCTTCCTCCTAAAGTAAGGCAGTTTAAGAACTACGAAATGGAGGTCTCTGAAGCTCCACTCTTCTCGCCTTCCTTCTTTCTCCTAAAGTAAGGCAGTTTAAGAACTATGAAATGGAGGTCTCTGAAGCTCCACTCTTCTCTCTTTCTTCCTCTGAAGGTTAGGCAGTTTAAGAATGATGAAATGGAGGTCTCTGAAGCTCAACTCTTCTTGCCTTCCTTCTCTCTTTTCTCCAAAGGCAAGTCAGTTTCAAAACTGAAGCTCCACTCTTCTTGCCTTCTTTCTCCTAAAGCAAGGCAGTTTAAGAATGGTAGATGGAGGCCTCTGGAGCTCCACTCTTCTCGCCTTCCTTCTTCCTCTCCAGAAATTAGGTTTCTGGAGCTCCACTCTTCTCTCCGTCCTCCTTCCCTAAGAAGGCAGTTAAAGAACTATGAAACGGGTATCTCTGGAGCTCCATTCTTCTCTTCTTCCTCTAAAGGTAGGGCAGTTTAAGAACTATGAAACGGGGATCTCGAGCTCCATTCTTCTCTCCTCCCTTCTTCCTCTAAAGGTAAGGCTGTTTAAGAACTATGAAACGGGGATCTCTGGAGCTCCATTCTTCTCTCCTTCCTTCTTCCTCTAAAGGTAAGACTTTCGGAACTATGAAACGGGGATCTCTGGAGCTCCACTCTTCTCACCTTTCTTCTTCTTCTAAAGGTAAGGCTGTTTAAGAACTCTGGAGCTCCACTTTTCTCTCCTTCCTTCTTCCTCTAAAGGTAAGACTGTTTAGGAACTATGAAACAGGGATCTCTGGAGCTCCATTCTTCTCTCCTTCCTTCTTCCTCTAAAGGTAAGGCTGTTTAAGAACTATGAAACGGGGATCTCTAGAGCTCCACTCTTCTCTCCTTCCTTCTTCCTCTAAAGGTAAGGCTGTTTAAGAACTATGAAATGGAGATCTCTAAAGATCTATTCTTCTCGCCTTCCTTCTTCCTCTAGAGGTAAGGATGTTTAAGAACTATGAAATTGAGATCTCTGGAGCTCCATTCTTCTCTCCTTCCTTCTTCCTCTAAAGGTAAGGCAGTTCAAGAACTATGAAACGGGGATCTCTGGAGCTCCATTCTTCTCTCCCTCCTTTTTCCTCTAAAGGTAAGGCAGTTTAAGAACTGTGAATAAGCTCACTGTGCAAATTGACGTGGGATTTTCCTGCACGGAGCTCTAGATGGCATTAAGTGCTCACTATCGACTCTGTGTTTATTTGCTCGATCTCCAAAACGAGGTGGCGTTGTCGTTGCTGAAGAGAGCGAGGTGAGGAGCTATTTCTGTTCCGCCGCTCTTCCACTCCCACACGGTGACACTACAGCACCCATGAGCCTGTTTTCAAGCACCGTTTGCGGGGTGGT